AGGCCCATTTTGAGGCCCATGTTTGAAAGGGGCCTAATAGGTTTTGAGACGGGTCTCGATGGATTTGCGTTCTTCGTCACGAGGAGATCGAAATCAAGTATTCATACACTCAAAATGGATTTTGGGTGAATGAGAAATTGATGGTCTAAGTATGGTACTTGGAATGGCATATGTAGAAGAAAAATTGCAAAAGTCCCACATTGGCTAGGAGTGAAGCCAATGAGGTGTTTATAAGTGATTGCACTTTGAAACCTAGGTAAGCATGTATACCAGAGAGGCTCTCTCACGCGCAGGGGGGGGGGTGCGAATCACGGGCCCGGCGGGTTTGGGCCTAATGTGTGCGGACACGAATGCCGGACCGAAAAACCCGCTCCGCGCGAGCTTACTTTTGCGATTTTATTTTTGCTCTAGCTAAGACCTTCCAGCTTCCGTTTGGCATAAAACAATGATGGTTAAAGACCATAATGAGACCTTAATGGTGATCAATGGAGGCAAAACCGAATCAAGCTTTCATGGCTTTGGTTTTCCATCATCAAATGCTGAATTACTAGCCAGAATGTGGCCAGATTCACCGTGGGAAATTAAAAAACGTTTTGGCTGGTTTTAATCACCATTATTCCGGGAATAAATCTGGGTTATTACACCATAATGTCTTGGTGTAACACCCAGATTTTGGAGCCTATATAAAGGCTAAAACAACACATGATAGGCACACACTTCCTCACAATTCTCTTCTCCTTTTTGGTTCTCTCTCTCTCTTGGTTTGTTCCGGATTTCCTTGAGTAGTTCTTGTAGTTCGGTTTTGGTGATAGAGGGAAGATCAAGTTCTAGTTCGCCGGACGGTTCCGAAAGTGCATCGAGCTGCCGTCGTTGTCGTTGTATCCTGGGAGACGGACGTCCAACGTAACCTCAAGCACACGCCGGAGGGGACGAATCTGTTTTAAGGACAACGTGGTTCACGTGCCTCGACATTCATACAATTCCGTTTTCGAATTCCATAGAAAGGTTGATTTTGGGTTGTAACAATTTTCATTATTTTGTTATTCCTTTATTTCCTTGTTCTTCTTTGTATTTTCTATTATATTGTCTAACACATTTAATATGCATAATGCTTTGGATTTATTCAGACAAAAAACTTGGAAAATAACACTTCCAACTAGAAATATGCTCGAGAATCATTTTCACAGAATTTCAAATGTCTGCGAAAAGTTCAGATAAGTAGTTTCCAAAAAAAAAAAAAAAAAACTGGGCATGTTCAGAAGCACTCAAATCAAACTTCATAGTTACAGAGATACCCAGAATTTCAGAAAGAATACACCATCCGATAAAAAAATAAAAAATAAAAAATAAAAAATTAATGAGACAATAAATATCATATACCTCGAATTGGTGATCGAAAAATTGGAAATTGAAAAGATTTGTATTTGTCTTGGCTAATGGAAGATTCACCATCCATAGAGAGCGTGGAGAAAAAATGGAACAAGTGAGGGAGCAAAAGAACGTACAAACAAAAAAAAAAGATGAGAGAAGTAAACTGAGCATTTAGAGGCATATGGTGATCGGCAAAGTAGGCCAAATCGGTATTAGCGTTTTAACTTCTAAAGTACGACTATACATGGCCAGTTAATTTCACTAATTTGAGTTTAAAATTTGAATTTTGTTATAGTAAAAAGTTCTCAGAAAAAATCACATTTAATTTTTTTACTACAGTAAAAAACTCTCATATAAAATCATATCTCAATTTAAATCAGTAAATTAAACGAGCTCTTTAGTATGATTTTTTTTTTGAAAGAGAGGTAGGCATAAGAGTGTTTTTTTTATTTTTTTTTATTTTAAATAGAGATAGGCGTAAGGGTGCGTTTGCTTATAGTTGCGGAATGATAATGAAAATATGATGATAAAATATAATTGAAATATGTTAACTGATTTTTTAATTTGGTTTGGAGTTATAGAATGAATACTTGAATAAGATTATGTTATTTGGTTGACTATAGACTGAAATGGAGCTAAACTATAGTTTGACAAAAATAACACTAACTAATAATCATCACGTAATTCAAACATTAATTAATTTAATTATTAAAAATAATAAAAATAATTTAATTATTAAAAAACTTTTTATTTGAACGATAAGTTAAAAATATATATATTTCAATAATAAAGAAAATTATATTTTAAATTTTTATTTTTATTTAAAAAATAAATTATAACTTGTGTTTGTTATACAAATCTAATTTACGATCTACTTCTTATTTAGTACTAGCAATTTAATGGTCATATTAACTTTTTGTTTAAAAAACTGATAGAATCAAGATGAAAGGAGAAAAATTTAAGACATATTATAGTTTGGGAGCAAAACATGTACATTTTAAAGTTCAGGGACATATTGATACAAGTGACAAAATTCATGAGGTATTTATAAACTTCCGTTAAAAAACTTAACGAAGTTAACCTCAGAATGCATGTTAATACAAGTGACAAAATTCATGAGATAATTTATAAGATTTGTCCAAATACTTTCTATTATACGTTCCATAAAGATAAGATTTTCATTTTTATTGATAATTTTATAAAATTACCATATTTAAAAAAAGTTAAAATAAAAATTATACAGTTCATCAGTTAAGATGCCTAATTGCAAAATTTTTCTTTTACAAATGTTCTACTCTAAGATTCAATTAGTGGGAAATTTAGAGGAAGTTCTGGAGCTTCAAACAAGTGCCGGCGTCCCAGTTTGAGAGAAGGGTGGTGAAGAGGCGACAATGAAGATTTGATTAGGGGAATTTGGAGAAAAAGAAAAAGAGGACTAAGGACGTGTTTAGTTGGGGATAAAGGAATGGAAAGGAAAGAAAAAAACTCTAATTCTAATGTTTGGTTGGCAAAAACTTATGGAATGACCATTCTCTGGGAATGACTTTTCTTTCATTTTAGTGGAATTGTCATTCCTCTCTTAGATGGCATGAATGACGATTTCAATCAAGATTTATCTATTTTTCCTTTTATGTCTTTATTTTTTTCACCGTCATCTTCAACCAAGACCCATCACCATCATCTTCAACCAAAGACCCACCACCTCCCTCTACCCCATTATCCTTCTTCGACCCAGATCCAACGCCTTCGTTGTTCTGGTGAACTCGAGTTCTACTTATCCGCCGTCATCCCTTGCCCAAACTGCCTCCGCCCAGCGCCGCCCACGAACAAATCGTCCTCCTCCACTCTCACACAAATCTGCCTACATCTAGGCCGACGAAACCCCCCCCCCATCCTCTCATATAATCCAAAATTCTCGTCAACCAAAATGGAAAAACCCAATAACTTGTCTTCATTTCAAATTCATGAACTAAGGAACCATAAATCTCAGCCCCGTTCATTTCACCGATTCGAGTTTAGAATTCGAGTTTTGTTACAGTAAAAAGCTCTAAGAAACAGTCACATCTAACTTTTTTACTATAGTAAAAAGCTCTCACATAAAGTCACATCTCAACTCGAATTAAAAATTTGAATCATCGAACTAAACGGGTATGAGTCATGAACATAAAAACTCCAAAACCCATCAGATTGTTGGCCACCATAAATCTCAAACATTGTTATCACTGTGAGAAGCATATACGATCTTTCTTGGATTGGAAAAAAAAAAAAGAAGCTTCATAGAAAGGCACACATGACACCAGTAAAAAAGAAGCAAAACGAGGAGTAAAAAGAAATTCTCTGGCCTCCACTCGGTGAGGTCATCTTGTGGATCTTTCATGGTTGTGGAGAGAAGAAGAAAATTGAAAAGGAAAAAAAAAGAAAGGGGGAAGGGGGTCGAACCATTATTATTCTGGGTTTATCTGAGTTTGGGAGTGAGAGAGACATGGTTAATTTTGTCCAAATAAAAATATTCATATTCTTTTTTATCGTATTTGTAAAACCTTAATCAAATAAAAAAAAATCTTTTTTTTCATTCTATTATATTATTATTACCATTTCTATTACTATTACCATTCACCACTATAACTAAATGCACCCTAGATGGGTTTTTCCTCTCTTTCTCCACGTAAATGCTGATTCATCCAAATTGGATGAATGGATTTTCTGTCAGGAAGGCTTTTCCAATTTCAATCAAATAATGGAATTGGACCTTTTTCTCATAATGACCATTTCTTTCCATTCCATTATCCTCAACCAAATGCACCCAATATGGCTTTACCTTTCACTTTCACAATTAGCGTCAACAAGAGAAAGGAAGTAGAGAATTGAACGAAATCCAAACGGACATAATAATAAAAATCATGGTTTAGGGTCTTGGAAGTAATTTAATAAATTAATTTAAATAAATTTATTTATGCATATCTTTTGCAAATAAATTATGCATAATTAATGTTGGCGTGATGCAAATTTATTTATCAAAAAGTAATCTTTACATTTTATTTTAATTGTTGGTTAAGTTTTTGGGTGGCTAAATTGTCATTTAGATTTAAGGCTTATTTACATGGATGGCCCCTAAACTTGATGATTAGCAAATTAGTCCGTGATCTAAAAATCTTGGCAACTGGCCCTCAAACTTTAAAGGCCCGTTTGATTCATGCGCATAAATCAGTATTTTTATATTTGACATTTGAATTTTAAATTTTGTGAGAAGAAAATACTGTAGTAAAATTAAAACTATGAATTTAAACACATAAAACAAACGGGTCTTAAATCTGTCGCATAAGTTAGTGCAGCAAACAAAAAGGGCATCCTTCCATGTATTGTCGCCGGAGGAAAGCATAAGTGGCTCAATGGAATAAAAAAGAAGAATGATTTGGATTTTTTTTTTTCCCCTTTTTGGTGCGTGATTTGAATTCTGGTTTTCCTGAAAGAAGGCTAATTTACCGAACTGCGTTTTGGTAACTTGCACAGTACAAAAGGAATCAGTGGTCCTGCGCTAAAATACTTTTGAACATAACCTTAAAATTATAGGTCATCAAAGATGGTAAAGCAAAAACGAAAGAAAAGAAAAAGGAGAAGGTAAAAAACCCAAATTCAAATGGTCACGTATTCTCCACTTCAGTACTTCTATAAGAATATACCAAAGAAGTACTCCCTAGTTGCTGGAAATTTTCCATGTTATGTCAATACTTGTTTCCTATGAGAAAATAATGACTATTGCAGTATACTTCTTATTTGTTTTTCCCCCCATTTTTTGCCATTCAAAGGTAACACGTAATGGGTAGTAAATAAGCAAACCCTTCCCTCTCCTTTAAACCTCCCCAACCCTCATGTTATCCCAAGATTAGTGTCAACAGGACTCGAACAATAATTTCGTCTTTGCCCATTCCTGGCACATTTAGTCGATTCTTCTAAGCGTGTTCACATAAGTGTAGCTCGAAAGTGCCACAAAAAGCTTGCGGAACCTACAGACACAAAGTAGATATTTCCACACGCACGATAGATCTTCAGATCATATATCTTGATATATTAGAAAGCGGGAGAGTTTTGAATTGATAACAATGAAAAGAATGCATACCAGACCCATTGGCTTGAATGTTGTGCCATCGCGAGGAAACTCTTTCGAGGGTGTTCGTTTATGAAGCAATGCGTCACTCCACTTGAGCATCGCAAGGCACATAAATAGGACAACCATATATCAACTGGTCCACTATACTTGCGTAGTAAGTTGGTGCTGACCTAAAAACAATGAAGAGCGGAAAAAAAAAAGGTTAATCAAGAAAACAAAAGGATTACACAAACTAATAAACACAATAAAGTATATAGGCAGGGCATTATTATATATAAGATAAAATTCCTCGAAACTTTTTGCATTGTGACAATGTGCCACTCAAATTTGTATTTGTATCATCCAATTCCCCTGCGCTTTGAGATTGTACCAAACATGCTCCTACAGTTGTCTTTTTACGAAGGTAAAACATGTCTATAATGGTATGTATGTGTATCATTCAAAATTACTAAGTTGCTCTTCTCCAAGTCCGCAAGGCTTGTGTGGCACCACCATTGTTGCTCCTAGGGGGAGCTTCCTTTGGTTCAATGGCAGCAGGCAACTCCGCGAAGCGGAAACGACATAAATTTTTCAAATTCATCCTCTCATCTATATGTAATTTGATTTCACTAGCATGAAATCAAACCACTGCAGAAGGTCACTACCCCCCCTTTTTGGTGTGTTCTTATGGACTGTTTTAGTAGGTTCTGGTCTTGAAATTATCAAATTAACAATGCGCCGCTTGATTCTTCAAAGAAATAGCAAGATAACAAAACTGGAGGAGAAAATTTGGGAACTGGGTCAATGAAAACTAATTGCAATTTGCTTCTATTATTTCTCCCTGAAGTCACACCCATTTGTACTCCTCATGTGCAGCCTTTGTTTCAGTTTTTAACTTGTTTGTTATTCACTGCATTGTATTTATGTCTCTTGTATATCACCATCACCAAAAAGGAAATACAATCAAAGATTTTTTATACTGTTGTTTTGTTAGGAGCGCAGAACCCCACATCTCATTCATACGTGCTCTGTTGAATTTACAAAAAGAAAAAAAAAAAAGTTTGATCTAACCTATATTCTCAAACTCTTTATTTACAGAGAGTAAGAAACAACGCGTACAACCGTAAACAACTGAAAAAGCTACATATTTGGAGGATGGAGCTCTAAGTAATTTGCTAAGTATTGCCTAGGAAGGACGAAGGGTCCGAAGACGGGCATCCAATTCAGGGCAGGGTTTTTCAAGGGGGAAAACGCATTTAGGGCTCTAAATAGAAATATCACTATAAGCTGTAAAATTACCTAAATACCATTAAAATGGGACATTTGACATGCATGTGCCTTATTCTGTCCAAAATGATCATGGAAGGAGCAGGTTTGGTACAATTTATGAAGTTTAAGGGGAATGGATGATACAAATGCAAATTGGGGGGCATATTGTCATAGTGCTAAAAGGTCAGAGGAAATTTATAAAAGTTGTCCTTAGATATATATCAACTAACTTTAGAAAATTCTAAGCAGGTAAGAATAGAAGTTAGGTATACACTACCAATAGGGGGAAGCTCAGGCCTACGAATAATCAAATAGTAAATTGCATATCTTGGATCAGAGTTCATTAAAATGCCAGTTCCGAAAATTTAGCAAAATATAGAGTTAAAGAGGGCGTACAAGTTCCCAAGCTTCAATATCTTGTTGTGAAGTATCATGTAAGAGCTTCCTGTATTGGACACAGATGAAAAATCAACAAATAATAACATAGTCGTACCTAAATATAGTATTCCAGAAATTAGAACATAATACAGGCAATTAGAAAGATTCATTCAAATTCAATATCGTAATACTTGACATATCATTCTAATGCAACAACTCAGCAACAACAGAAAATATATAACAAGGGTGATGATGATAATCATAATGATATGGACCTGTTTGTAGGAATTAAGACGGAATAATAGATCAAAGTTAAAAGGGTATAGAATAGTTCTCTCAAGGTCGTTACCAAAGCTTGAAAAAGGGAGTCTGCATCATATAATTCTCACAATTTTCAAGCTAAGATTATCTGTATATGTCCTAATACAATTACTTTCATGTGAGAGTGTTCAATTTGTGTGGTTTCACCGTGCGTAAAGAGTAGATAACAACGTAAAAAAAAGTGTCTCATCAAATCCTCCTAAATAAGATGCCTCACATCAAGTCCTCATAAACAAGAGGAGTGATTAGCCACGAACTCTAAGCATAAAATGGACCTATAGAAAAAACATTCACTGGAATAAAAGGTGAAAAACAGAAACAGAAAATAAACAGATACATAAATAAAACTTACCGTACCCCATGATGAACGTCACGATGATTACAATGACCAGAAACACCATAATCATCAAATGTAATGATCTGAAATACAACCATGTAAATGCTATCTTAGAAATGTGTGTAGAGAAGATAATTGAAAGGTAAGAAAAATTTTGCAACAGTAAGAAAAGCAAAGAGTTTTGCAACTCTGTAATAGATACTTTTTCAAAAGCCTATAAAGGAAAATTGAGGGGAAAGGATACGCTATGATGGTTTAATTGAACAACGATCTTACCAAGTCAATACCATGTTTTGCAACTTCTTCTTCAATAATCGTGGCCAATAAATCATGGCTCCAAACTTTCCCAAAACCATCCTGGTAATGACATATGAATTTACAAATGCCTCAAGATAGAAACCCAAGCCCTATTGAAAATACACATTTTGTGTGTTGTAAAACCTGAAGTTCTGCATGGTCTAAACACCTCACTTGTTGTCCTGGAACCTGGAAACACAATTTCACATGTTATACCACCAAAAACCAACGTGGAGAAATTTTCTTACCATCTTCACTCGTTTTAGTCTTTTAGAGCACAAGTTTTACATAAGATGAATTATGTGAATTGTGAGTACACCAAAAAAAAAATAAAAAAACAAAAGTGGAATAAAAAAGGAATCATAGACTAATATTGGGACAGAGAATGAAATTTAATTGTCAGTAAAAAGAGTTAATTGTAAGAGTGCACTATAGTAGGATATTTTTAAATCTGCAGAGCAAGTTTGCAAATAACCTTAAGAATTGCACAGGCCAGGTAAAGCTCATATTTTCTAATATTTCCCTTGCCATCAGCATCACCTAAAAAAGACACTCGAAACAAGACAAGGTTAATTCAAGAATTAAATTTGCTAAGAAACCCCAAAAGACAGTTCTTAGTGCATCTACAAAATGTGATAAAGCATTCAGTTTTTCTGCTTATCAGGAAAGATAAAGCTGTAAAAGACAAGACATGAAGAGAGAGTTTAAGGAGAAAAAAGATAAAGGATTGGGGGAAAAAAATAGGGAAAGTTTCACCGAGTCTAGATATTTCTTGATACAAACAGACAAGCAGGTAGAAAAATAAAGTATATTGGATGAGGGTTTCAGTCTTTTTCTTTTTGCAACAAAAAATAGGAAACCATCACATCTAAATAAATATGAAAGCATTGTTCGTGCGGAACATTTCTCAACTTAAAAGGCTACATATTGGTCATATAAATACATTTACAGCTTGTGAACATTATTGTTCTTATTGCAGAAATGGCAGGTAAAGGAGTCATCAAATTTTTTAGTAATGACAATAATGCTAAATAAATAAATAAAGAAGCATATAGAAAACTACACAGTACATGTATGTTACCAATGGACAAGCATAATACGTGAAGATTATACCCTCTGGAAGTGAGGTAGCTAAATGTTGGAGAAAAGAACCTGCGAAGTATACATATGGTTTCAACAAGCAGAAGATACAATATTAGTAAGTAAAGAAATAAACAAATTATAACAAACATTCTATTCTTTTCCTTTTCCTTTTAATCATATTGGCTGGGAAGTACTGCCCAGATAAAAATAAAGACAGGTTTTAGTGGACATATTTAAACATCAAAATAGTAGGGCAAGGGCAATAAGAAACAATGTATGCTTTCTTATATGTCATTGATCGTAAATAAAGTCCCCTTAAACCTGGACATACCTCTTCTTCAATGTCAAGAGTTTACCATCTTTAGTCTCTTCCTGTGAGAGTCTAAATAGTGGTGTTTCTTGAATATGTTCAAGTTTTTAATTTTTTTTTTACTATTATTTTTTATCATTCTCATTTATCATGGAAAGTTCTATAGTTTTCTTGGACATGTTTGATTGATGACTCTCTCTTTTAACTAGAAGGCTTTGAAGGTGATCATCAAATTTTGGAACAGAAGACGCATGAGGCGGTATTGATGGCGGAGAAGAGAGTTCCAAAGGGGCAAAAACAATTAGTCTGAGAGGCAGTTGGCAAAAGTTACTGAGAAGACTGTTTCTGCCTTTTAAAACTCCATAACCATCCATGGAAGTTCTTCAGATTTGAATGGTAGGAGATATACTGAAGGAGTTTGATGGATCGTGTGAGGAAAATAAGAAACCTCACGACCAAGAGTGGGGAAGAAAATGAAGTTGAGTGTTTTGTAGAATTTTCCTAACCAGATGTAGTGGCAGCTCTGTCCAAAAATATCAAGGGAGGATGTTCAATTAAAGCAGCAAAACAGAGGCTTTAGCTTCACTATGAAGTCTCCTTTGAACTACTGAAGTTGGATTACCTATGCAATTTTGTGTATCAGATTCTCTAGTGCTTGCTAATTCTTTCAATACTTTATCTCTCAAAGTTTATGAATTTGGCAATTTCATGCCTGATATTATTAATCCATAATCTCTTTTCTTTTCCTCGTCTTGTTTTTGTTCATGTTCCCAGATACGAGCCGGCTAAAAAAGGGACGAGGGTAGATGAGAATGTCGTATGGTTGGGGAAAAATCCTCCTCGTATTGTATCTCATATTGTAAATTATTAGAGTCATCAATGAAGACAAATCTTTCATTCTCAAGAAAGGGAAATAAAAAAAAAAAAACTGAATTTTAAAGCTTACATAGATTCGTCATCTGGGTGGGCAACAACCAGCAAAACATTCCTTCTTGTCTTGTTAAAAGTGCCACCTGAATTATTAGACATGGGATTTTTCAGACTTCATGAATAAATAAGATCATCACAACAAATAAGAAGATAATCAATTCACCCACCATTAGAGAAAAAATCATCCTTTGAAGATGAGAAAGAGCCATGGAGAATTTTGACAAGAGAAGCTACCCAAACTACAATAACAGAACTGATAATGATAAGCCACGCCATCTAGGATACACCTGCAAGCCATCACCAATCAACAACTTTCAGAGAGACCCAAAAACGCAAATAATCTCATAATTACAATCCTAAAGATTTTCTTTTGCTTTCTGAAATAGAAATTATCGAATCGAACCGACCAAAAATTGTACATCAATCCTGAGAGAAATTAATTTGAAACAGATAAAACAACTAAGAACATGAAAAAAGAATCACCAACAGAAACAACAATATGTCAAAATTATGAAAGAAAAAAATATGAGTAGTGCTCAGGAAACTTTGGCAGCCAAAATTTCCCCAGAAAAGTGAAAATTTGTAATGCAAAATTCATCAAATTCCTCTTCTAATTCAGGGTCAAATGAAAGCGTCACAAATTTAAATCCTCGTGATTCCAATGAATTTCAAACAACAAACAAGCCACGTTATAGAAGCCCTTGTAAATAAATAACTTTTCGTATATAACTTAGGTCAACAAAAGATTAACATCACAAAAAAAAATGTGAAAAAAAAGGTCTCATAATAAAGCAATTATAACTAATGCTGCTCCTCCCTGTATAAAATCAATGAAACCATAGTAAAACGACATACCATGTAATATATGCTTCTAGTTTTGCCTATAGTTTAGATCAAACCAGCACTTTTTGTTTAAACTACCATTGAGAACCAGTACTATTTGTTTAATTACACCTAGCTCAGAAATTCCTAATAAAAGAACAGACCATGAGAATTCTTCTTGACCTTTACACAAATGAAGGTTGTTTACGCCCGCATCGATCGACTCCTTGCGGAGATCATCCTCTTAAGAGGTAAAAGCTTGTTCGATCTGGAGAGAGAGAGAGGGAGAGAGAGAGAGAAAGAGACAGAAATCTGACGCCGCCGAGGGAGACGAGGCGGGGAGAGAGAGAGTGGTGCGAGAGAGCGGGAGAGTAAAAAATTATGGCAGGTATTTTGAAGATTAGAAAATTATAACAGGTTTTACACAATTGTTTTTACACTCTTGTCCCTATCTTCACTCAGTCTCTCCCTCTCCTCTCTTCCGTCACCGCCGGCGTTAAACCCGACGGCCGACGATAGCCACTGAGCGAGAGATATCTCCGGCGAGCTGCGTTCGATCTCGTGACGCGCAAGGATCTACGAGTCCTGTTCGCGATTCTAGTTGGCCAGACTCCTTCTCCGTCGACGGCGACGGCGGCCGAGAGAGGAACCGACGGAGGAGAGAGAGAGAGGAGAAGCGAAGAGGAAGGAGGAGGGAGAGAGAAACTGTGAGAGACAGAAAGAAATGTAAAAGACGAAAATAAAAAAAGGAGTTTGTGTCGTAGACAGTCCAATTAATAGTGTCAATTTATTATCTTTGGTTTTGATCAAAATTACATGGATTAAAAAATATATGACACATAGTTAAAAATATAAAATTATTAAGTGAACGTTATTCAGTATTATGATTTAAAATTATTTTTAATTTATGTATATTTTTTATGAGAAAAAATATTGTAGCGAATCATGAATTATTATTCAAATCATAGTACGAATTTACTAACTAAACGCACCATAAAAGTTCATCTCTAAATAAAAAATGTTAGAAAAAAGAAGAGAAAATTGAAAAAATAATAGTAATTTCTGATTTAGATTTATAGTTAAAAATAAAAAATTATTAACGGTTCATCTCTAAATAAAAAAATGTCAAAAAAAGAAGAGAAAATTAAAAGTATAACAAATAATTTTTTATACAGATCTGATGACTAAAAATAAAAAATTACTAATAATTCATCTAAAAAAAATTAAAAAAAAATGTCAAGAAAAAAAGAAGAAAAAATTGAATGGTTAATTTAGAAACTCGCACCCTTAAAATTGAAATGAATTTTAAAAATGTTATAAACTCATCAAGTTTAAAAAATATGATGTTATTAACTTCCGTTATCTGGTGCATCTTGCCAAAAATGTGGTTATGGTGTCCTTGAATTTTAATGCAATTTACGGTTTACTTTTTAAATTTTAAAAAATTCTCATTTTATTTCTTAAATTTTTTTTTTTTGTTAATTCCACTAACTTTTATTTGTTAGAATTTCTTTTATAATCAAATGAAAAAAAGAGGTTAAATATAATTACGTGCCTTTTTTATTTTCAAAAGATAAAAGGGCTCTAAAAGGATTAAATAAGACCCGTTTAAAATTAACAGCACTGTTTATTTTATAAATTTAAACTATTATTTAAAATTTTTTATTATAATATTTTTTTATATAAAATTTACATTTATAAATTAAATGAGTGGATATTTAATTTATAATAAATTATAAATCATAATTTAAATTATGAGATAAATATTCATACTAAATACCATTTAAAAATTCCGCGATTAAGTTGGAAATAACACCAAAATTTAAGGACATCGATTCGAATAATTAAGGAGATGTTTTTAAAAATTCCGCGATTAAGTTGGAAATAACACCAAAATTTAAGGACATCGATTCGAATAATTAAGGAGATGTTTGGTTCATGGATTAGAATCATGTGATTATAATTATTTTTGATTTATTTGTATTTTTTGTGAGAAAAAACACTGTAGTAAATCATGAACCATGATTTAAATCATAATTTGAATCCTCCAACTAAACATCCCCTAAATGTCTCGTTCATTTTACCAATTTGAGTTTTCAATTTTAAATTTTTACAGTAAAAAATTCTCAAAAAATATTATATTTAATTTTTTTTATTATAATAAAAAATTTTCAAAAAAATATCACATCTAACTCGAATTGAAAACTAAAATCTAACTCGAATTGAAAACGGACGGGGCCAAAAAATTTAATGAGCGGCATAAAAAAAGCGTGTTGGGTGGCATAAATCTTACTCCGTCCAATGTCCATTTGCATCAGCAGCATTGCCCGTTCGTTCTTTTGTCTTCTCGTTCTCATCTCTCTCCCTCCTTAAACCCCACTATTTCCAGGGTTTTACAATTCACGCAGACGAAAAAAGCCTCGGCTTTTACCAACAATGGCCAAACTTTAGTATCCGATTCAACATCCACCATGGGTTCTTCCGGTGCTTTCTCTCTTTGCTCTCACACAAACATATTCACTCCCAAATTCACCAATCTCAAGCTTTCCTATGATTCCCTTAAACCCCTTTCCTTAACCAATCCAAAAAACCAATTCACATTCCTAAAAATCAAACTTCTTAAATCCCCCAAAACCATCACCCACTTCTCCAAACCCCACAAAAATCTCCACCGTTTGTTGTTGGATAAAGCCGTGGGTTTTCTCGTGGGGTCGGTTTTCTTTATTGGGTGTTTCAATATAAGAGCCGCCATTGCAGTTCCTTCTCAAACAAGCGGTTCCAGTGCGAAATTCGAAGAAATTAGAGATACCCAGAAGGAGGAAACTGAAGAGGAAGAACTTTACGAGAAGCTTTTGGAGAAAGAGCCAAAAAATGTAGAGGCTTTGAAGGTGGTTTTGTATGGCAAGATGAGAAGAGGGAAGACCAAAGAGGCCGTGAAGTATGTGGAGAGGTTGGTCGAGTTGGAACCGGAGGAAGTTGAGTGGAGGCTTTTGATGGCGCTTTCTTATGAAATGATGGGGCAACTAAGCGTTGCAAAGAGGTTGTTTAAAGAAATCTTGGAGGAGAGGCCTCTCTTTCTCAGAGCTTTGCATGTATGATTCTTTTGCCCCTATTTGTTAAGTTGTTGTTCTTTCAAGTTCATATTTTTGTTCTTAATTTCATAGCTTTTATGTTATGGATATTGTTTTCTGTATATGTATTTAGTGATTGTGTAAATATGTAGTTTGGAAGGGTTTGTCAATTTTTATTAGTGAAAAATAGGCATACGTGCCACTTTCATAACTCAAAATTTTGATAAAATGAATGAATGAGATTTTTATGGGGATATCACAATTTTGATTGGATCATTGTTTACTAGGCAGTTTACTTCTTTCAGCTGGTTGACAAAACTCAAATTAATGTATAGTATACTTGCTTTTTTTCTTCCCCTGATGATTAAAGTTTACTTACGTTGTCTTAGTTAAAAATAGATTATGGATATTGTTTTGTGGATTTAGTGATTGTATAACTATGTAGCTTGGAAGTGTTTTTCATGTTTTATCAGTAAAACTAGGTAGAACATAGGTGCCTCTTTGGAAACTCAAAATTTGACAAAATGAATGAATGAGAATTGAGGAGGATAATCACAATTGGGGTTGGCTTATTGTTTACTGGACAGTTTACTTCTTTTCGCTGGTTGACAAAACTAAAATTAAATTACAATTTTTTTTCCTTTATTCTAGTTAAAATTAATTTTGTTTGCACTACATTAAGTTCTTATTTACAGGTGTTATCAAAGTAATATGTTCTATTTGTTCTCATCGGAGGAAATTTTAGTATGTAATCTGTGTTAAGTTTATAAATTAGTGTTTTTAGTATCATTCCCACAACAAGGATTCTTTGGCAACATTGATATGCTGTAGTTTCTTTGCTGAAAAGCTTCAAGTACTCACAACTCTCTTTTCGACAGGGTCTAGCGTTGGCGATGCACAAAAATAATGAAGGTCCAGCAGTTTTCAAGATGTTGAATGAGGCTCTGGAGATTGCTCGCCGTGAAAAAAGAGTCACTGAGGAGAGAAACATAAGAATTTTGATTGCACAGATGCATGTTGTCAGGGTAATGCCAAAATTAGTCTAGCTTATGATTTTGGAATGTTATTAACTTGGCTGGGATTGTTGTCTGTTAAGCTCTCAAGCCGAAACAAATGGTAATCACACAATCAACACAAGAATTTGAGTAAATTCACTGAATCTATGGGATTAATTCTGCAGAAAAACGGAAACGAATACAAGATATGGGGGTTTTCGAGTGACCCCGTGCACTCCCTCACTTCACAGCTTGTCACTTCTTCGATGCCCTCTCTCTTTCCTCCCTCCTAATTTATTGGATCCCCCGCCCCCTCGATACAGACTCCAAAGCAAAATAACTAACTAACAAACCTTTCCTCTTTCCCTAGATCAACCCATTCCCTCGTGCCACTCAGCCCCCTTTCTAATCGTTCTGAGAATTGTTACCCTGTGCTGCAGCTTCCTCCTCCTTCCCTGTTCCTGCATGATATTTCTCACGTAGTCTCTTCCGCACATAGGTGAATCGTAGGGGAGGCTTATCATTTCTCTCACTAAATAAATGTTAATTTGTGACCCCTGCACCCGTGAAAATAATGTTTTCGTTGATCTTCTCATTCACCTTATAAAACTTCGATGCCTTGCAGGGGGAATTGGAGGAGGGCTTGCAGGAATTTCAAACTCTAGTTGATGAGGATCACCGTGATTTTCGGCCTTATCTCTGCCTGGTGAGCTTTCTTTCTGTTATTATCTTCTCTCTGGTGCTAGTTCACGTTTTTTTTTTTCTTTCAATGAATCCTCCTTCTCTTCGTGATTGAAGCTATTGTTCTGAATGAACAAAATATGTACGCGTGTGTATATATATATATGTTAATTGACTTTATTGCCACCTTCATTTATGGTTTGTTAACTTGTCATCATTGCATGACAAATGAGAATATGTTTAGTTATATGCTTTCATGTGCGTGTTACTTCTCACCGATATTGTTTCTCTCTGTTGAATAAGTTTGAATACCTTATCATTATAGGATCAGGAACTAAGGTTCTCCCTTAGATGCACTGCCTCTCTCGTCCGCTAGGTTACTGAAAACATGGATGTATTTGTTCCCTTTGGCAGTGACAAGTCGCAACTTTTCTCCTTATAGGGAAAATAGAATTTGTGGGTTTGCGAAAGCTGTATTTTTCTGCTTGGTAAATAGTTCTTATTTACAAGCAAACCATGTTTTCATGATTTTCAAGAACTTATCAGTTCCCACTTCCTGTAGGATGGGAAGTAAAAATTTCTTTTGTGGGCTGCAAAAGAATATATTGGCGTTATTATAATGGTGAAAATGTATTCCTCCAAGTTCCTGGAAAAAAAAAAATGTGTCATTGATGCAATGATTAGTTTGAGGGATAGTATCACAAACTTCCTCAAAATCTTTATAACGAGTTGTTGAACCGTGCATGAATAGTAATGGTAAAAGACGAGCAAACAAAATATTCGATTTTTGAAGTGGAATTATCACTAAAATATTGTTAATATGTGTGGCAGGGCATTATCTATAGTCTGATGGATAAAAAGGAGGAGGCTGCTGAGCAATTTGAGACATACCGGGCTCTTGTGCCCGAAGAATTTCCGCAGAGGAATTTTCTTGATGATGTTGTGTTGGCTGCAAAAAAACAGTCTCGAGAACAGTTGCAGAAGGAGTTCAAGGCTGAATACTCAAACTGGAAGTATTAGCTTAAGTGGGGCCTTCTCGAGCTCAAAACAAAAGTAATAGTTTCTTTCCCCCCTTTTTTGTTTCAATGGCAATTTGACAATGCCAAAGCTTGTTCATCTTGGCATTGAACTGTAGATGAGATTTGTCATTTGTGGAAAATGATTTATATCGGAGAGAAGTATGTGGTAGAGTATGAGCGATAAACACAGTTTTTAACCTTCTTATCAAATAATCATCATTAAAGTAGGATATAATTTTTCAGGCCTAGCAAAGAATTATTCTTACTTCGTAATTCATTTTGTAAAGTAGGTGCCATGAGTACAAGGAAACTAGCGAGTCTGGAAACTCGTTGGCACAAAGGCCTGAGCAGTGGCACAAGTTATTACATTGCTTGACGTCAAATACAACATATATGTGTGTCTTTCAGTGTGTACGGCATCGTTCATTTTACCGATTTGAGTTTTTAATTTTAGGTTTTTATAGTTAAAAGCTTTTAGAAAATGTCACAACTTTTTTTGTTACAGTTAAAAGTTCTTAGAAAATGTCACATCTCAACTCGAATTGAAAACTTGAATCCGCAAAGCGAACGAGGCTGTATATTATGTGTACACTGAAGAAGTAAACCTTGTGATTGGAATTTTTTGTTGGATTATTCTTTAGCTTGAACATTACGAGGTTCCTATCAAAACAGGGTTGTTTCTTTTTTTTTTTTTTTTTTTAATTTATTTCACTAATGATATTTCCTGATTTTTTGTTTTTGTTTTCATCTTTGTAGTCTGTTTAGTTTGTAGGTTTGAATAAAAATTTAAATTTTATGAGAGAAAATGTTGTAGTAATTCGAACTTATAAAACAAACGTGGATTGACGAAAAATTTATGAAATGTAACATAGTTAATTACCTCCCAATTGCATAGTTAAAAGTTTGTAAACGGTCATGCTGAATGTTAATTATTTTATATATTATAAACTATAATATTTCACATTTAACGTAACAATTTCAGTAAAATTTATGCCCCCAATTTCATTGCAAGTGACTCTTAAAAAAAGAAAATTAAAGGTTAATTTGTCAAGAGGTTCGACAACCAAATTGAGACTGTGCTCATAATTCAGAGACCAAACGTGTGTTAATAACCTGTTTCAAATGCAAATCTTTTGTTGGGTTCATGATGCAGGAGGTTGTAGGCTTGTAGCTATATTAGTTATTTAACTTTAAATATAGTTATTGTTTATTAATGTAGTTATGTTATGTTGTTTGTATTAGTAGATATTAATATTCACATTAATTATTGTATTAGGAGGAATTAAATATTGAAATATTAAATATAAAGTTGAGTATTTTCTCACCAATTTAGGAATTTTCTTGTGAAATTACTTTAGGTAGACTTCAACAGTAAAAGTCTATTTAATTCGCTGATTTAAGTTTTTAATTTGAGTTAATATGTGATTTTATATAAGAGTTTTTTACTCTAATATAAAAATTAAATGTAATTATTTTTAATAATTTTTTACTGTAATAAAATTTAAATTTTAAACTCAAATTAATAAAATAAATGAGATTTAAATTCCGTATTATGTTAAAGATTAAGCGGGTAAAATTCCGTTCTTTTCATTCCCCTTGCACGAAGATTGCAATAATAATGCTTGGCAAATGGCAACGTGTAACAAGATTGTCCAAGCAGAAACACCCATAAAACAAAACAAACAAACACCAGTTTCAACTGTCCAACGGCTCAACTGAACGGTCTCTAAAAGTCTAAAAACATGTCTCTGGAAGCTACTGGGATTTTCGAACCGGAAACCGGATTGAGCTTGAACCGCCGGTTCACCGCCTCCGCAACCGGTTTTCCTCCACCTCCCCGCCGGTTCAGAGCCCTTCCTTGTTCATCTTTCCGAATTTCTGCTCCTAAAACTAAAATCCTTTTCTGCATACCAACGTCCAGCGTAACGGCCGTGGTCGAATCGAACTCGGCGACGGTGACGGAGAAGGATGAGGAGGATGAGATATCTGACCCGCCGGTGAGAATAGTGGCCCTCGTCGGCCATGGCAGCCTCAGCCCCCTCAAATGCGCGCCTTGGGAGGAGGTCATGCTCCACACTGTAAGGTTTTCTTTTTTTTTTCTTTTTGTTTTTCCGAAAAGGCCGTTTATTTACACTTTGCCCATTGATGGTAATAATAAAAGATTAGACATGCAATCTTTGCTTCTTTTTTTTTTTTTAATTATGCTTTGTATTATTTTCATATTTGCGGTTTTTTTTATTAGTATGCAATCCTTGTTTTTTTTTTTTTTTTTTTTTTAATCTGTGCTTGATTAAATTAGTTAGTTATTTGAAATTCAACGGTTATGATGCCAGTGTTATTGACGTTGGTTATTAGCCAACTAAGTGTAACCATTATAAACTGTGTGGGACTCGACAAGTTCACATGTATTGGTGGTAGTTTGAGTTTATAATGAACAATGCTGGGTCTGGTGTCTAACACTACACACTAATAGATTGTTGATCTTATAGGTGAGCCCCACGTTTTATTAGTTACGATGTTTTAATACAGGTGGTACCGCTTAGCATTTTCCTTTGGTAATTAATTCTACTAATTTTCCGCGAGCAGGCAAACAGACTGAAATGGGTGGATGAAGGGTATGAAATGCAAGTGTTTACTGACAATGTCATTGAATCAACTAGTGAACAAAAACTTGGGAATGTAGAAAGGGAATTGAGCCGTGCGGATATTTTGGTAGTTGTGGGTGTGACGAACCAAGAATCAGTCGAGTGGATTCAGTCCAATGGTCGGAAGGTCGAAAACATAATCTGCTTCGAGTCCTCTCCCGGTTTACAAAACAAATTGGGAGGATCTTTTGTAGAAAGCAAAAGCCAAAGTGATGGAAGTTTCTTGGGAAAAATCAGTGGAATTTCTCAATCTAAGAAGAGCAATCATACAGTGGAAGTAGTTAAGACTGTGTCTGAGGCATGGGAAAGGCATAACTCTGATGATATAAGGTTTTGTATATTGGTTATTGTTAATGCCTACATAAGGCCAGTACCAATTTTGAAGAATCTGAGATCAAAAGGGTTTTCCACTCTCAACTGCATGGTAAAAAATTGCGGGACTCAGATATTAAACTGTCTTTTGGATCCTAACTGTAGGAAGGCCCTGCAATGCTTGAACAAGTGTAGTCCCGTCGACCAAGTGTGTAACTATCGCTGCATTGCTTCATACGAGAGTCCAAGCCTGGAAGCCTTTTCTCTCTGCGTGTTGCAGAAGAATAACTGTCTCGAATTGGACGCAAAGATCCCGGAAAAGCCTTGTGTCCCTCCAATGGTGAAATTTCAAGACAAAGACTTATGCCATGAAGCTGCTGAGGATGTTTTCGTTGGGTGGTTGGGGGGTCTGGATTGGAGTTGGCGAGTCGTGGCAGGGCAAAACCCGGCTTACGACCAGTTCCCTTGTCAATACCAGCTCTTTTACAGGGGAAAGGCAAAAGGGTCCTTCTGGTACGAGCCCGTTTTTCAGGTGAAAACTCTGGAGGGGGAAATGGTTTGGAGGAGAAGAAGGTATAGAGTTAAGAGAGGCAAGGTCCCGGGGACGTTTTACTTCAGCGTGTTGGATAATGGCGTCGTTTCTAACGAGTTTTGGACCATTGTGGATGCACCAGATGATCTTAGTTGGGGGTTGTTTCACTACAGTGGGGCTGCTAGAGTTGCCGGGCAATCGTATACCGGGGCGGTGCTTGTGAGTCCAAATGGGGATTATCCAAATGAAGTGGAGAGGAGGAGATTGGTTTCTGCTTTGGAGAGGTGTGGAATTAAGGAATGGGAGCTATATACAGTTGATAATTGTTCATGTATTGACCCTCCTTTAGGAATTCCCGAGGGCTCAAGATTGCATAATGTGATTGAAGTTCAAAGATGAGAAAAAGGTCTTGATTCTCATCCTCAAGTTTGGAACATAAAAAAGAAATATCAGATTTGTTGTAGCTTTTGATAGTTGCATATTAAAATTAATGGGTTCATTTTGTTGTCAATATATGATAATTGATATGTCTGTATGTGGTGAGAACTGAGAAGATTGGGCAAAAATCACGGTGGATTAAGACCAAAAAATGTCAATGCACCAACCGGGAATCGAACCCGGGTCTGTACCGTGGCAGGGTACTATTCTACCACTAGACCACTGGTGCTTGTTGATTGTTCCAGCCCTGCAACATATTTTATAAAAGCACTGTTTTTATTTTTATTTTTTTATGTTGCGTGTATTGAATTTCCATTGTCACACTGCAAATTTTTTGCAGTCCCAACATTTAATAGAGAAATCAGCGTCACCTTTTTTTCATCTACAATTTGAGTAATTTAGGGTTGATATCACATCACATGCACGTTAAAGTACTAATTTGATGTATTCAAGCAAAAAAAAAAAAAAAAAGAAAAAAAAAAGTACCAATTTGATGCATCTATTCTAATGTTCTGCTTCAACTTACAAGTGATCCGGCTCAGGTTTAAGCAAATTCGTACCTTTGTAATTGAACGTATAATTACCCCCTCTTTTTAGAATTCTTTTCAAAGTGCAATCTGGTAACCTAATTGTGAAGAAATAGACTTAATTTGATACTTATTTCTTAAAACTTATGTCCATCTGATATTTTGTACCATTGTTCATTATTATTAATTGGTATTTTGTCATGTGATTTAAAGATTGATTAAACTAGAATTATTCGATTTAAATGGCACACCAATAGACATCGATTTAGTTAATGTCGAATTGACTGTGAAATAGGACAAGTAATGAACGGATTAATGATACTAGTGAATTAGGTTTTTCATATTCCAATAGCCAAACAAACATGAAACAACACTCAAATTTATTGTTTTAACTTCTAATACCAAACCACAAAATTTTTAATTCTTTGTAAAACACACTAATACCAGTTGTTCAATATAGATACGGAACACTATGTGCCTATTTGGAATCATTTTTAAAAACGACTTTTAAGTATTTCGAGAAGTAAAAAATGAAAATGAAAACGCAAATAAAACAGTGAGAATGGTTTTTTGAAGAAATTAAAAAACAGTTAAAAGTTATTTTTACTTTCTGTTTTCATTTTTTAGTACTTATTAACAATATTATAATATATTAATTAATAAATACAATTTCACTTTTTTATTATACTCAAAACAATCTCTTAAAAAATCAACCAAACACAATTTCAGAATCGGTCCTAAAATGATTCTCAAAACAATCTCATTTTTACTTTTTATTGAAAATAAAATCAGTTTAAAATCAATTCCAAGCGCACTATATATATTTTTCCAAACAAAAGGAAGAATGAAGTAAAAAATAACTAAAGTAAAAAATAGATTTCAAAACTATTTGAAATAAATAGCAAAAAATTAACAATTTACCTGGTAAAAAAATTTTGTCATGTAATCATAAAAAGAACATTTACGTGATAAAAGAGGTAAAAAAAAATATCTTTTTATCATGTAAAATCTAGTTGTAAATAAAAAAATTTACGAAGTGAAATTTTTACTACTATTTACTTTAAATATTTTAAAATCTGTTATTTAATTAATTTAGTTTTAAAAATATACTATTTATCAAATTTCTAAAAAGAAAAATCAAATTATATAGTATTTAACTATAATTCTAATATATAAATGGTCATTTATGGAAAAAAGAGTTTAAAATTTGAGGAAATTAGTTGTAAATTCACTTTTTTCCCCTCTTTGCATATCAGAAATAAAAAATAAATAATTTCTTTAAAATAAAAAAAAAAGAAATCAGAAATAATTGTCTACATTTTTATTCTCGTACTACCCGTGCTCCATCACTCCCACACCAACCAACCAACGCCTTCTCTCTCACTTCCAAACCCAAAAACCCTCCTTAACCCCCCCACCACCCTCTCTCTCCTCTCTCTCTCTCTCTCTCTCTCTCTTTCTCTCTCTAAAATGTTGCTCTATCGCTCTCTCCTCGCCAAATCCACCCACGCCCGGCCCTACTCCCGAGCCGCCTTCGCCTTGATCCAACAGCAAGACGACAACCCTCCCCCTTCCCCCTCTCCCCACCCTCCGGCGCCGCCATTGACGTACCTCGAGGGGCTCCCGAGGCCGGACCCGAAGTTCGCCGAGACGATCCTGGCCGTCCCTCGGGCGTCCTCCGGCAAGAGCGTGGCGGCGAAGGAGCGCAAGGCCGGCCGTGTCCCCAGCATCGTGTTCGAGCAGGAGGACTGCCAGAACGGCGGCAACAAGCGCCTCATCTCCGTCCGTACGAACCAGATCCGCAAGCTCGTCAACCAGCTTGGCCGCTCCTTCTTCCTCTCCCGCCTCTTCGACCTCGAGGTTCGCGCCGATTTCGACTCCGAATCCGAAACCGACATCGTCGAGAAAGTCCGCGTGCTCCCCCGCCTGGTAAGCCATCGGTTTTCTCCGATAATGGAGTAATTGAAACTGTTGAAAGCTAATTCGAGGTTTTTGATTGTGTTCAATTTCAGTTTTTTCTTTCCTAAATTTGTTATTTTTTGTACATTTGTTGGTGATTGGTTTAAGTGTGTTAATTTCACAGAGAATGGAGCAACCGAAAATGTCAAAACCTAATTCGAGGTTTTGATTGTATTTAATTTTTCAAAAGAGTATTTTCTTCTGAATATGTTAATGGTGATTTTTGTGAATTTTCGGAAACTATGCAATTGGAAATGTTAGTGAATATATCGTTGTGATTGGTGAGTAGGAAAGTTTGCTGAGGAGAAATTGGGAATGGTGAAAAGCTAACTAGAGGTTTTTAACTGTCTAATGTTTCTAATTAAGGTTTTGTATTTGGAAAATCACAACAGTTTCTGTACGTTTCTTCGTGTTTGGAAAAGTTTGAAGCTTGGGATTGAAATTGGAAATGGACATTGGGAATTAGAAAGTTTGGTTCTTTGTTTTCGCGGAAAGTGTTTTGTGGAGGTGGAGAATCAAAAACGTTGGAATCCAACTTTAAACTGTTTTGATTGTGTATCCAATTTTCATGCATTTTCTCCTTTTCCTTTGATAGTTAGTGAAAATAAAAATAAAAAAGGGAATTTTGAGAACGAGTAAATTCACACTTAACTTTTTTAAGTGATTGACAAGTAGGAAACTCTGGTGCTCTATTTCATTGCTCAAGAATAACAGTAACAGTTGTGTAAGTTCTACTTGGTTGTTTAGAGGATAAATGAATCAAAAGTAGTTGTTATAGTTAGGATTAAGGGCACCCCATAAACTGTTTCTTACAAGTACTCTTTTTCAGATTCATCTTAATTCTGCGACAGACGCACCGCTTAATGTTACTTTCATAAGGGCACCGTCACATGCTTTGTTGAAAGTTGATGTTCCTCTAGTATTCCGAGGAGAGGATGTTTCTCCTGGACTGAGAAAAGGTTAGCCCAAACTTTTCTATCATCTCACTATATTTTTTTCAGTGTGAGTGTATCAAGTGACGTTTTTGTAAATGATTATCTGTTCACTTTATTTTATGATCCATATAATTCATTGTCAGTTCTTAAGAGAATCAGGCTGGCTTTGTTTGGTTCAACGATTCAAATTGTTGATTTAGTTTGAGTTGTGGTGATTTGAATTGTAGTGCATTGAATTGTGATTCGAACCGGTGTTTAGATATGCAAATAAATTGAATTTGATTTGGGAATAAAATCCGCACTGTGTTTGGATCAAGTGTTGAAAACTGTCATTAGAGTTTTATAACAAATCTTATAAAATCCAGTATAAATGACAACCAAAAGTATGCAATATTGGATGGGGGATTTATTCCTCTCTTCATTATGAACATATTAAAAAAAAACATTTCAATCTGAATTAAAACGAGGAAGTTATGACATTTTTAAGCTTGAAATTGAAGAGAGAGAAAAAGTAGAATTAAAATTGTTTTCATTGCAGAAAACAATGGATTTAGAATTTAGTGGGGGTGGTGAATTCTAAAATCTAAGGGCTTGAACCATTATTAATGGTTTGAATTTCCTCTACTAAACATCTATTTGAAGCCTAAACAACAATTTGGATGCTTGAAACAAACAGGGGCGCTGAGTTTTATCATGTTAGAGAGCTCACTTTCTGTGGCTTGGCTTTATATATTTAGATATGTAAGAGTGACAACAAACATGCCTGATTGTTTGATCACCTTATTTTACAGCCATAGAGTTTAACTCATGTTATTTAACAAATTACAAGGATTGCTGTACCTTTAATTTGTTAAAACAATTTTCTTGTTGTACAGTAATCTTAGCCGTGTCAATATTACAAAGATTGAGATCTCATTAGCTTCCTGTTCAAAGTCATTATTTGCTTTTCTCCGTCAAGCCTTCACCTGTCTTTTAACTTGGTAATTTTAGTTACTTGGAATCAACTTCTCATATTTCTGATCAAAATACCTCGAATGGTGTAATCTGTGAGTTAACTTATTGTTTCAAAAAATTGGCAGGTGCTTATTTAAATACCATCAGGAGGACTGCGAAGTTCCTTTGCCCTGCAGATGTCATCCCACCATACATTGAAGTGGACCTAAGTGAGTTGGATGCGGGACAAAGGGTGGTCGTAGGAGATCTCAAGGTCCATCCAGCTCTAATGCCTCTTCGGCCAAAAGACGATCCTGTGTGTAAGATTATGGGGTCTAGAGCTTCTGACCAAAGGAAATCTAAATAACCACTTCTTCTTGGATTTAGTTGCCCTAATTATTTGAAATTCCATCGCTGCCATGATTCATTTCTCTTCTAACATGCGTTGAGGCAGTTAAACAAGGGTACGACTGTTATTGCACGCCGTTTGCCTTCTTTCTCTTGCATAATTGGCTGTGCTCGTGTCTAGTGGGTAAGGGAATCCTAGATACATGGTGTGGTGATGGGGGAAATGCAATGGAAGGAAAAATGATTTTTGGGGTCCGTCTTGACTCCTAAATCTAGTGAAATAAGCAGAATTTTGTTATAGGTAGGTCATAAGAATGTGAGGAGCAATTAAGAAAAAGCTACAAATGAAGACATGATTTTTAAAATTTTGATCCATCGTCTATTTTGCAATTATTTGTTGGCAAGTTCTTTGGAAAGATCTCCCTCTTGTTTATAACTCGTTTGATATTGTTAAGTTTTTTTAAAAAAAAAATTCTTTTCTATTGTTCTTTTTTGGAAAAAGAGCAAATTTCTTGAAACCAACTAGGAGAAGAAGGGAGAAAAATAGCAGATCCTGCATCCACCTTGTGCCAAAGTACTTCATATGTTGCAGCTATCTGCGTTCGTAGAGTTATGTTGTTACTGTTGTTCGTAACATATAGTTCATTGTTACTTTTCAAAAGTCCCACGTGAAATAATTATGAGATAATTTGTGGGTTTATAAGCGCTTAGATCCTCAACGGGTTGGTATTTTAGCTAGTCCACCACGTCGCAGGTTTTGGAAGATGTCTTCCTTGTTTTATATGGATTGCAGGCAGTAATTTATAGACTTCATTACAATTTACATACGTAAACTCTTTGTTTAATATAAAGTACTTTCGTTGTCAGATCGATTTCGTAACTGTTATTAGATTTACCTATCGTATTATTCATTTGCAGTAAAAAAAAATTTGGCATGTAGAATACATAGAGAATTGCTGCAAAGTACACCAGTGTCGTGACATAACTAGGTTGTATAACTTCTATTTGGCAGTCAGCAGAATTAATGCGTGTCAATATTGTTAAAGAGTGGACTTTTGTGTTGTGAAAATGCATTGGATATTCATTTTAGTCCATTGGTATTTATACATTTGAGATGAGATGGGAATTTTCTTACATAAACATGAACAAACTCAGCAAAGCTCCTGCAACAACCGTCACGGCAGACCTGAATCCAAGCCTCTCGGCGCAACTCTCAATCTGAATGGGGAACAGACAATTTCCATGGGAAGCATTCTGGGTGACAATCTTCGCCATTCCACTAAAATCGCATGCCTCAACGCTCTGATCGTTCATCTGGAAATACATGTTGAAGGCATAAGAAGCTGTCTGTTTCTCATTCAACTCCCCACACGAAGTGCCAGGCCCCAAGCTAGTGCAATCAGACATGGAACAGGCGTAATTCACTTCAGACCCCACAGCACTCATGTTCTTCACATCACTACCCAACACACACCACTTCTTCTCCAAGTACTGAACTCCCTTTGCCACCACCAGCATCTTGTCCTGCCCTTGCCCGGTGAAGTCCATCGCAAACTTTGGCTGCCCGTCATATCGGAATATCCCCCAGTGGCGCTCAAAGTGCCCTGGAGCGACACTCTTTATGTCCTCGTCCAAAAGGCTAAACAGATAGGTCTCTATGCGCCCCGGCCTAAGTGGGGTTCCTTTGTTTTTAGCTAGTTTCTTTAGCAATCCGTCGTAGAACTTCTTTGCCAAACCAACATTTGCGTTCTTGTCACCATCTGTGGGCCACCCGACCTCTCCCACAAGGATCTTGAGGTCTGGGACACCCGCCTTTCTAAGGGACCAAACTAAGGTGTCGTGGTTGGCGTCGAACACGTTGTCGTATTGGGTGTTCTTGTCATTGATGGTCTTGGAACCATCAAAGAAGGCGAATTCTTGTGGGAAGTTAGAGTTTTGGTAGAGGCTGAGAAAAGGGTAGATGTTTACCATAAATGGGGATTTGTTGTCGTTTAGGAAGCGCACTATTTGGATCATGAGGTCTCGGATGTCGTCTCGAAAGTTGCCATCGGACGGGGTGTTTGACGATGAGTCGTAAATGTCGGCATTTAGGGGAATCGTGGCTTTGATTTTGTCTCCCACGCCTGCCTTATTCAGTGCCTTTTGGACGTTTTTGAGTGCTGGGAAGGTGGGTTTGAGAAAACTGCCGTTATAACTAGACAAGAAAGGCTCGTTTCCTACTCCCACATACCTGCATAATACATGTATAAAACACAAGACTTTTTGAGTGTTGAGCTAATTGCATTTTGCAATACTATTTAAGTGGGAAAACTAGTAAATCCAAACAACTCACATATGTATAAACGGAGCTATGATGTTTACACAATTTGATTTGATGTGATCTACATTGAGAAACGCATAAAATAAGTATTGAAATTTTACAATCACTTCTTTTTTCCGTAAAAAACCATATTGTTCTAAGATATCAACACCTACGTCAGATTCTAATATATTTATATCAAATTCTGCTATAATCAACCATCACATTGAAAATGTAATTGGAGGTTTAGCTTAGGGGGAATTCCATATTTACTTCTAATATTAAGGTCTAAAGTTCTGATACCTACATCTAGCATTCGAATTATCCTTATCCCCAAAAAAAAAAAAAAAAAAAAATCTTTTCATTAAAAAAAAAAGAAAAAACATGCACAAATAATGCATTGTAATACAAATTTGCTGATTAGGAATAATTACTAGTAATAAAATATTTGTTCATACTTTATCAAAGTATTTCTGTGCTATGAATGACAAATGCAGTAATTGTTTCATTTCATAAAACAGATATCTAGGGAGAAAAAACTCGTATATATTCTTTTGCAAACCTGATATCTACTCCCCCATTATCACGAAGATGTTTGGTGACATTTTCTTTAACCCAATCCTTTGCATGGTTATAGCTTGAAGCTAACTTGTTAAGCTGGTCATTAGGGATTGCAACCATAACCTCAATGCCTGACCCGGCCAAAGAACTCACTGTCCAATCATCTGCGTCGAAAAGCTTGACTTTTTTTATTCCATTGTCTTTCAAAAGGTTGACCACTATGGTGGGATGCAAAGGGTGCGAGGCCATTGTTCCCCAGTTAACTCCTAACCCTTGTGCATGGTCGGCCGAGACCACGATCATGATGACCGCGGAAACGGCACAAACCACAAGGGACCGGCCGGCTCGGGCCATGGATCAAGCCAGTTCGAGGGGTAAAATTAAATTTTAAAAAAAAAAAAAAAGAAAAAAGTTGGTCTTTATGGTTTTGATTAAGATTATGGAATAGTAATTAGCATTTGTTATGGCATTGTTCATAATGCCGGCTCAAGGGTTAGGCTGTTTAAGGTTACTGCCTAAGGCCTTCCTTAAGTCAAGGCCCCTATTATTAGAATTATTAACTAATTATCTTTACACCTCAAAATATTAAACATATTAATTAATTTTCTTTTCTTAAAAAAAAAAAAATCTTATTTCTTCAAGCCCCCATTGTTAGAATTATTAACACCTCAAAATACTGAACATATAAATTAGTTTTCTTTTCTTAAAAAAAAACAAACAAACAAATCTTATTTCTTAAGTTTTAGTAAAATATATATATATAGCTATTTCTCAATATTAATTTTTTAGTATTTATTATTTTCTTCTTCTTCCAAGAGTTGACCATACATATAAATATATATATATATATATATATATTTCCGAACCTCTGTTGTAACACATTTGATATATCATTTTTTTAATTAGTATTTGATATTTCATATTAAACACCTTGTAATCAATCCTTTTTTAAACTATTCGGTTGGAAAACAGGAATAAAAGAAAAATCACTTAATTTTGCTATAGATATTGAACATATGCACTTAATTTTTACCCTTCAAACACAATCAACACCACATTATTTTCAGTGCGACATGCTTACCCCATCTCTTCTTAATTTAAATACAAAAAAGGTCAAAAAACGTGTCTGAAAAATTTTGCTCTTTGGATTGTGGATTTTATAAAAATGGGAGCAATGCGCAGAATAAACATGTGGTTCTACTGTTCTCCATACTCTCTACGTCCTCCGTTGACACGGCGGAGAGATTGTCTAACACCACTCTTCTCTCGCTAACTCACTGAGTTGTTAGCTCATCATAACCTAATGCGCCCATGTCATCATACACAGCTTAAAACACTATGGATACGTTTAGAATTCGTTCTAAAATAAATTTATTTTTTATATAAAAATAAAAATGAAAACGTTTTTAATTTCAGACATAAATTATTTTTAAAAATACGTATGGTAGTTTTATCAATAAATTATTTTCAGTATAAAAAAATTTATTAATGTATCTCTCTCTCTGCTCGAGAGAGGAGAAAACGGAAACAAAAAATGAAAAACGACTAAAAGTCATTTTTCAGTTCTCTCCCATTTTACACTAAATTAAAAAATTATTTTCATTTTTGTTTTTTTGTCTTTAATTGTGTCAAATGTCGTTTCTCTTTTTTATTTTTTCTTTCTTGAAAAACGTGAAAAATAAAAACAAAAAAACTCCAAACACAACCTATACGGTCTCACATTGCAAAATGTGTCCAGGAGGTAATGTATAACTAGGGCCGGCAATATGGGTCACGATACGACTCAAAAACGACACGAATTTTGCGGGTTAAGGTTGAGAAAAAAGATGTTCGGGTCAGAATCGGGTCGATCTGAAATTGACACGAAAAATACGAGTCAATTTCGGGTTAGACCCGCCTAACCCAAACACGACACGAAACTTGTAAAAAACTAAAAAATACATAAATTTTCCATTTCATATTTTAAATTTTATTATGAACTTGTGATATCATGATAGTTATACTCAAAATCTTATACTATTATATGCTTAATTTCAATGGATGTTATTGTAATTTAGTGTGTTATGAATTTTACGTTATTTCTAATATGTAAAAAACTAAATAAAAATATATAATTTTCGTGTCAATTTCGGATTCACAGGTCAATTTCGTGTCACGGTTCATTTTCAAGTCGTGTCGTGTCAACTCGTAAAGTAATCGTGTCGTGTTCGTGTTGCGGTTTTTAAAAAATTTCATGTCACGGATCGTGTTCGGGTTGACTACAAATTTTAAAAAAATGATTAAAATACGACACGAACACGACACGTGACACGAATTACCACCCCTAATAACCAACCATTTGAGACAACAAAATTTAAACATGAGATAGGAAGAATGATGCTTGCAAACCGTTTGATGAAATGACAGAGAAAATGTGTGGCTTGCAATGCCTATTTATCCCTTCAATTTTTTTAATCCCTCATATGCCCCTAAAAGCAAGCCCGCATATGCCCCTAAAAGCAAGCCCGTCAGCAACTCGACAAACATTTCACAACATACGCTGCAAAACTTTAAAGGTACTTGTGACCCCAAATCAAAAGTTGAGGGACAAAATTGCAATATGAACAAAAGCTCGAGGACTATTTGCGCCAGAAACCGTTCACGTTGATCAAAATAAAAATTCTCATTGATCAACATACAAATAGTAACAAATTTGAAAGAAACAAGCTGGCACATTCCCATGATTTTAGATACAAATTCCAACCAACAAATGTCTGCAACTAACACTACTATATAAAAAGGAAGAAAATATCATAATAAAATAGCTAATAAATATCTTAATCCAAAACTTGTTACAAAATTTTGAATGATCAATGGATTATTATAAGGCCTAACTACGGCCGCAAAGCTTGAAACTGAAAGAAGAGGGAGAATTCTTTCAAAATATTTAACTTCAACAAATATGACTGTGTCGAGCATCTGTTACAAAGTCTGATTCAATTTATGAAAACTACCACTGCACCCGCATCCCAACAGAACAATCAACCATCTACAATGCAAGAGGAAGCCATGGACATAAATAACATGAAACGAAAATTAGACAACTTTGTTTTGGTAGATAAAATGTCGCAGAGGTTTTTGAGACAAATGTTATTTATGATTGGTGTTGGTGGGGGATTGAAAACTACCAACAGTGCACAGCATCCCAACAGAAAAATCAATGATCTACAATGCAAGAAAAGAAACATATAAATTTTTTACAAAAAAAAAAAAAGAACTATTATAACTGCTGTGTTATCATAATCCAATAACTAGAGAAGTTCAATTTTAAAAACTGAAAAAAAAGGAGCAAATAATACCTTCAGGAGTCCAACAGCAGGTGCGGTGAGAGTCTGAAAGCATCGAAGTGAGCAATGCAGAGGCAGTGGTGCTGTGATAAGGAAGCAACGATCCCAGGCAGCGGCTCATCTCCTCAGCTGACTGCCTTTTGCAGCCAAACAAAAAGTTAAGCACAAAGCAAATAAATGTACCTATATAATTAGGAAATGAATGTTGTATCACCTGAACGTGGGACGAGAGAGGCGGTTCTGATTCTGTTTGGGGATGCGAAATGGTGAAGAAGCAGGTTTAGGTCTGGAGCCGGAGGCAAGCCGGGAGCCCAATGTACTTCGAGTGGCGGTGGATCGGAGGACAGACCTGGCAGCAGCAAAGGATGACATTTTTCTTGATGGCTTCAGGGGTTTAGGATTCAGATTCAGGAATTGAAATTTTCAAGGGGTTTTGGTATTTGGCACTAAAACTAATTCAAAAACACAAAATCAGTAAAAGGGTCACAACGTTCCTGCTAAAAAAAAAAAAATGCCAAAACCAATATCAAAGAAATCCCTTATCATGACTTCAACCCTAGGCCTCCCAAAAACCTCAAATCAGCAGAGACTAAAACCTCAAAAAAAGACTGACGGTTTCGGCGATTTGGACGGTATAAAACCACAAATTACGAGATTAAACCACTAATTAATCCCCTAATGGTCAATTTATGAACTTGCATTGAACATTATGAAATCCGAAATTCTATCCAAAGTTTGAGCATATGCAAAAAAGGAAAAAATGGTAATCAACTCGAATTCAATCGCATCAATCGTCCATCCAAATCCATTACACGAACAACAGTAGAAAAAAAAGAGAGCTTTGATATCTTAATCAAAAAGGAATAAAATCAAAAAGGAATAAAATCAAAACAGAATTGCGTTAAAGAGAGAGAGAGAGGACCCTGAAGAGACGGCCTTTGATGACGACGTAACCGTGGCAGCGGCGGCGGTGGCGGTGGGTTGGGCTTGCGGCGGCGCCGGTGCCGATAGATCTGAAGGAGCCACTGGTTGTCTCTAGGGTTTTACGCTTTGTAGAATAAACGAAATAAAGGGTTTAAGGATTTTTCCCTTTTTTGGGTGTGAGGTCTGAGGGTATTTCCGTCTTTTCGTTGGAAAGATAATATGGCACTGTCACCACTGTGTAATGGAAATTTAACATAAGGACACACCAATTTAAATTTCAAATCTCAATTTTTATGTACCAATTAACTTAGTATATAAATTGTCACTTTTTTATTAATAAGTATAAAAAATATTATAATATTAATTAATAATAAAGTATTATATCTACTAATAAAAAAATAACAATTAACATACAATATTAATTAGAATTTAAAAATTGATATTTAAATTGGTGTCGGAACATTATTTAACATTTATGGAGTTTGAGGATTATTTTTTTATTCAAAAGTAAGAGAATCAAATTACTATCTACTAAACCGTTCAAAAAAAATTACCATCTACTAATAACTCTTGTTAGGAATGTTGGAAAAATACTTATTATTTTTGTTTTGTGTGTATTTTATTTTTGATATATCTCTTTCAATTTCTGTTATTTTTGCATAATGGTTTTGACCAAATTTATTTTTTTCTAATTTTTGTTATTTTTGCACAATATGCATAATAATTTTGACCAAATCTATTTTTTTTCTTAAATAATTTTGACTAAATACAACGTTTAAAAATATACACTAATAAAAACACCTTTCTTGGATTTTCTCAACTTACTGCCATATGGGGAATTCTGTTCTTTCAATTTAAAATATGGACAACGTAACATGTAAGTTCACGTGAGAAATTTGATGGATCTAAACAATTTGTGGACGTTTGGTTCATGAATTCAAAATCATGATTCAAAATTATTCTTGTTTTACGTGTATTTTTTGTAAGAGAAAAATACTGTAGAGAACCATGAATCATAATTCAGAATCATAGATGAATACAGGAAACAAACGTTGAGTTAGAGATCGTTTTGCCAAAATGACAGAGACATAAACCAAGTTGTTGTTGGGA